TAAATAAAAATTACAAAAATAATGAAATTTTAGAATAACTTTTCTCATCATAATTATCTAGGTAGCATTTATTATAAGTATTAGAGTTTTAATCGAATTTAATTTTAATTAAAAAAATATAAGATACAAAATGATTAGATTTAATACGTATTCGATAAGCTACATAATATTAAATAAGAAATCTTTGAAATAGTTCGGAACAGGCGCCTCCTGCGATTGATTTTTATTTTTACTAAGTCATAAAATTTTAGCACATTACCAGATAGCGTCCGTGTATAGGTTGCTTCTTTTATGTTTTCACTCGGTTTTAGTGCCTATTACTTTTGTATATTTAAAAATTACGTATATTATTAATTAAACAATCGATTAAATTTTTTAGTTATTTTACTGATTATCATTTAATATAATTATTACAAAAACAATAATGTTAGAGATTTTGAATTATTGAAAATACAGTAAAATTTAATCGAGTGCATTTAGTTGCGTACCAATAATTAACGAGGCGTATGTTGTTGTTTTTTTGAAGGTAGAGTAAAAGTTTATGGATTTATTAATGTGTTTAAAACAGAAAATTTAAAAATAATAAAATTATAAACCGAGTTTAATGAATGGGTTTTGATTGGAAAAAAAATGGTTGTCAAATGGTTTTAGCTATTATTACGAGTTTGCATTCTAGTTTATTATTTATAATAGTTTATACACTGTATTACATTGGTATCACGTATTCCAAACGATTTACCAAAATAATTAATAAAAAAATATTGATATATTTTATTTGGTTTGAGTATTCCTTCATTATTTATTATTATTAACTTAAATTAAAAATACCAGACATTAAAAACAATATTTTAAAAAAATTAAAAAAAAATTATAGTTGAGGGTTTATACCATACTTTATCATTTTATCACTGCAAGTAGTAAAAACTATGAAGAGAAAAATTCATTATTTGTTACTATTGAAAGCTATTATAAAAACTATTATTGAAATGTTGATTTATAAATAACAACGTCACATCAATCACAAAATATTTTGTCAAAGTAACCATACAAATATGAATTGAATTATTAAAAATTAATATGTTTATAATAAAAATTGATCACTTGTGGCTAATTAATTAAGTAAAATTAAAACTATATTAAAAATATTATTAATTTAAAAAACTAAAAAATATTAAAAATATTAAACTCAAAGCCACAAAAAAATTACGTATCCGCGACTTTTCATTAATTTTTTTGTGGGTTTGAGTTTAATATTTTTTAGTTTTTTAAATTAATAATATTTTTAATATAGTTTTAATTTTACTTAATTAATATGTTTATTCGAAATAAAATTTTAATTTTCAAAAACTGTATTTTAAAAGAACAAATTTATTATTAGACACTTGAGTTCTTGTACAAATAAAATTTCAAATAGAATTGAAGTAATATTTAATGTAAAATAGCTTATTATAAATAAATCACTACCACATTTTTTCATAAAATATATGAAAATCTTCAATTAGTATTTCAAAATTGCTATAATTTTTTCTCCTCCTAATATTTTTATTATTTTATGCCTAGATAATGATAGACATGTGATGAAATTACATCGATATATATATATTATTAATTTAGACGTCAAGGACATTTTATTATACGTATTAAGTAAATTCATTTGTAGAATAAATGTCTATTGAAAATGAACTAATGACAGAACTCATTAATAAGAACTTTCAAAAAGTTCTATGATTAATAAAGTATATATTCTTCTCGAACTGTTGAAAAGTATTATTGTAACCAGTTATTGAGTAACAGCATATATCAACTTAGGTTAATATGTATTAGTTAATACAGCGGTGTAACAAAATAATAATATAAGTTTCTTCATCAATAAAAACATTATCAGGGCCAAGCTTAAAATATTTAAAATGCAAAATCATCATATATACATTATGATTGTTTATATTTTTCACTAAGAATACTAGCCAGGAGATTTTTTACTCGATGTATTTAATACATTACTATATTAAGTAAGATAAATAATATTGTATAAACATGTTCACGGGTGGTCCGTGTTTTAATCCTGTTTAAATTACGAAGATAAATATATTCCGAGATAATGTGAAGTAATAATATTTAATATTATCCACTATATTGTTCGGACCAACTTTTTAAAAAGTCAATTATTATGTATTACGTACGTAGATACTCAGAAAAGACTCATACAGACATGTGTTTGAACACTACTACGTTTTTAACATACCATTTTAAGACCCATACATTATTTAATTTATAATAATTTAATATCTGAAAAAATAATTAAAACTTCTGTACAATTTTAATGTTTAAAAAATATAGTACAAAAATATACACTAAAAAAAAATTTTTATACGCTTAATTTTTACTTTATTTTAAAGAAGCTAAAGAGAATTAAATGTATTTTAATAAATAAATTCTGTGGTTATTTTCCAAAATTTATTTTAAATTAAAATTTTTAATTTTTTAGGAGAATAAAAAAAAATGTTCAAATGGTATTTTATGCAAAACTATATTGAATAATAACTTATGGATAAAATTTATTTTTTTAATAATTTATGCCTATAAGAATACCATTTTTTGGTAGATGATAGAAAAAATTCTTTTTTTACGCTATAAAATAGCATATTTGTAACTAATTAACTTTTTATACAAGCCGCAGAATTTCATTTAAGTATTGGAATCTAGTTAAGTGATTACTAACTAATTAAATTATAAAATTCTACCATACAGAATAATTATTTTTACGATTACCGCTCGATTAATCTTAAGATAATAATTATGATAAAGAATCTCAATTTTGGTATTTTTTTAGTTTCATATATTTTTTTAATAATTAAAGAAATTATTATCAGCTATTTATTAGTTTTTTAATTCATCCCTTATATCTCACAAATATGTCAACTTTGTTATTTTTAATGACAATATTTCAATCTATATTTTAAAATGGTAATAACTTTCAAAATAATAGATGAAAATTATCAGCTATCATATTCTTAATTAAATAATTTTTAATTTATAAGCTAATTAAATATGTATGTTCCAATTAAAAATAAAGTTGACTGAATTAATTAATAAATCAAAAAATCTATAAAACTAAAAATGATCAAATAATTAAATAATTAAATAATACCAAATAAATTGTTTTCTTAACATAATTATTATTTTAAGAGATAGCGAGTGTCATGTGTTATAAAAATCACCTTTATTATTATTATTTACATACATCAATATTCTAAAGATTGGACAAGATGATATGAAATTTAAGTCTAATCATATAATATGTTTATATCCATACAGTTAAAAAAGTTACTGAATATTCTAATTTTAATTTTTTAATAATAATTCTGTAAAATTAAAGAATTATTTTTGAATATATTAAATAATTTCATTTTTAGTTTTATCAAAAATATAACAAACGAAAAATTTAAATTGAAGATATTAATTTTGAAATAAGTTATTAAAATGTCAAAGAAAATTAAATAACTTTTGCGTTTATTTTTATGTTTACTTTTCATAACATTCTTTATGAACTTAAACATAAGAAATTTCAGCTAATAATATAACCCTAAGTATTTAAGCTTTCGAAAAAAAAAGACACTGTCTAAAACATTTATTTATAAATAAGAATATTAAACAGACAGTCATACTGTTGCGTGCAAAGGAAGAGATGTATTTTTATTCCATTACCATGCCACAAAATCTTGTTATAGTAAATTGTTCTTATAACCCTCTTACATACATGTTATATATTTGTCCTGAATATATGTATGTATAATTTTGAACATATCTAAATCGATTCACTTATAATTAAGGTCATTTTTAAGTATTTCTACGCGAGAGACAAATTATTTATCTATATCCGTTCATACAGATATGTTTTAGGTTATATAGAATTGAAAAAATACCGTTAAAAAAAATTTAAGAAAACTACACCTGTAACGTTCGTAACTATAAAATATATACTCAAAATAAGACTTCTTCGGGTAATCTTTAAATGATTGTTTGTGTTCATTAAATTTTATTTTACATATTTATTAAAAGTATAATAACATATTATCATTATTATCTTTGGATAAAATTGTACAGGGAGATTAATTACCGTTAGCTGCAGAGTTATACGTATATTAGTAGAAAATAAAAAATAAAAAAATTGTTTTATACTAAAATTGATTAATTCATTTAAATAAAATTTATAAGGTATTTAAAAAATTTGAAAACTATTGTAATAAAATATTTATTTCAATTTCCCACCGTAAAATTAATATTATGATTTTTATGAAATGTTTGTGGTTTATTAATTCATAAACCACAAAATAAACTTTTATTAATAAAAATTACATAATTTATATATATATATATAGAGAGAGAGAGTAATATAGTTTTATAACTTAAATAGCCGTTAAATTTAATTAGAGATTTATCAAATTAGTTAAATATTTTCTTTTAAAAAACACATTTTTAATCTAAATATAACGTTATTAAAATTCTACAAGATTTGCTTAATACTACTGCACCAGTAATAATAAACTGCTATTTTCATACCGAAAAATTTCTTGAGATATATTAACCATCTAAACACGTTAATATCTAACGGGATGGATTTCTTATAAGATCTTGTTTTTGAAGCTACATGTTAACTGCACAAGACAACAGTTGACTCACATAAGTATATGTAGACTATGCCTTTGAATAAATAAAAGTATCATGTGGGAATAAAAGAGTGTGAGCGCTTTTAGAGTATTTTGTTGGGTGTGTTATAATATTATATGGTACTGGATGCCCCAAAAAGAGTAACAAAAAATGATACCCAAAACAAATTGACAAAAAAACGTAACACAGGCTGCCGATCTAAACGGTATGTTCCGTTATGTTTACACCAAAATAAAGAATTGCTTTAGTCAACAAACATGGTCAAAAAAATCTTACGGTTATCATCATAACGGTACTGAATTTTGATTTAATGAAAAAAGTCAAGCATTTGAAAAAGAATCATTCCTTGTTGCTCTCAGTCCTCAATAGTTATACAACAACTCAACAACAGAAAAATCATTGTAACTCAACACTCATCTGACTAATAGTAAGTTCACAATTTTAAATAATAATTTTGCTTCAATGTTTACCGTTTAATATTTTACAAATATACTAAACAAAAAAATAAAATAATCTCATGTTTTCAAATTTATTCAAAAACCGCACATCAGTCAAGATAATAAATAAAATAGGTTTTTTTTTTTATCAATCATTTTCTAAATATAATTAGACAAAATCATAGTTAAAATCTGGGGTATTTTAGGAGTTAAGCCTCTCAATTATTTTGAGAATTATATGTATTTTTAGAAATGAGTGAAGTAAAATTAGATCTTTCGAATATTCTTCTCAAATTGCGCTTACAATTTTTACTCTTGTTGATACTTCTAATAATATTTTTACAGTTGGATTTTTTTTTTTATAATTATATTTTAGACCACACAGTAGTGGTTTCTTATATTTACACGTCTATATAATGTGTTTATTACCATATTGTTTACATTACATTATAGTCCCATTTTTTTTTCCAACCACATTTTTCCTTTATCTTTAATAAATAATACCAGCATCTTTACCACTTTATAAATAAAAAAAAAGTCTGAAATATATTACCTACCAGTTTTATTTATTAATAGTTTTAATGAAATTATTTCTTGTCTTCGTCATTAAGTATATGACTTATGCATAATACACGGTTATGAACTAACGCTGTACACTTATGCATGTTTAAAATATGCATTTATATTCAAGTTTGAAACGCGCGCACAAACCGTTTTAATCCCAGTGATGGCTTAACAAAGAAAGGAGGTAGTTGGATACAGAGGAGAACTCGAAAAATTTTTTTTTTAATTTATGGACGTTAAGCAGGTAGCTCCAATTACACTGTGCGTTGAATGTTCGTATATATACTAGTGCTGTGTAAATAATACATACAGCCATTTCGGTTTGTCATTCTTATAACAGAAACGGGTACGGGTAAGCGAAGGGGAATAGAAAATCCCCTGTATCCGCTGTTGTTGTATATAGTTTTGCGAGTACCGCAGCAAGGGAGATTAGCATAGAAATGGGACTGAAATGAAAAAATACTGAACAGGAAACGCGCTAAAGGGCGAAGGGAGAAAATGTGTACCTTGCGTGGGAGTGAACAGACCGAAAATGGACTCTTTATGTTAATCTGGTGGCATGTACGCGAAAGTGTGCAATGATGAAGTAAAAAAAATATATTCTGCAAGCGAGATTTGAAAAAAAAAAGAAATAAAAACGAAAGTTCCGTTTTAATGTGATTGCAGTGCAATAACACGTTAGCCATTGCAGAACCGAAATTTTTGTACATTACTTTATACAAAATCAATATGAGCAAAGGAATAAAAATGTTAAAATCAAAAAAAAGTATTTTTTAAGTAATTGCCACATTAAACTTAAGACTTAAATAGAATCAGTAAAAGAATGCAATTATCTTAATGATGAAATTCCAAAAAAGTCGTTGTAGCCTTCAAATACATTCGAGGGGGTGTCGATTTTTCTCATTACTTCTCTCGAGATATGATTCTTAATGAAAAAGAAAAACAGCTGCACAAATAATGAAAAACGGTCATATTATTTCTAGTCGACCAAATTAAAGAATCGCAGAGACATGTTTATCGTTCAGTAAAATGTTAACTTGAACACCAGTTGGTTAGTAGGCGTTTTAAGTTTTATACAAAAAAAACATTCTTCGTATGGAAGCATAAACCAGGCGATAAATGGATGATACGCACAATGTTGTATTATTCCTTCTACTAACCAACCGACAATTCCAAATGTTTTTGTACACTATAACGCCGTGGAAATTGAGTTGTCAGACCAATATCAAATCATAACTATCGAATTGGTTTTTTTAGAATTTTACTGGCCAAAGCCCCCAACTGTTCATTGTATTTACTTTGACAGAACAAATCGTGGCCTATTACACGTTCAAAATACAGCATAAAATACATTTTTAGGAGATTTCACGTAAATTATCATTATTATTGTTATCATTGTCGTCATTTGTCTGCTCTAGAATGGCATAAATATATACGCTCACGGAACATAGTCGATTGCATCTTTACGTCTTTGGATAACGCGTACAAACGCCAAAAGCCGACGTCGACGTTGTATTAATAGAATAGTTTTTTGCGGCACAATACCGAAACAGTCATACTCGTATGTCAGTAAATAATCCTAAAGACTATTAAATTTTAAGACGCAGGAAAATGAAATAAAAATATCACCGAGTAATCGCGAAACGCCCTTTGACAGTAATTTCAGACGTGTGAAAATAATTTTAACAATAAGTACGAATAACATAAAAAATATTAATAGATATTGTTCAGGAAATATTTTTCGATCGCCTCCGCCTAATCGTTATTCCAACGAATTTTGTATATTGATGTTTAAAACTTTTTGAATCCTGGAAATACTCGTTATCGTTTCTTACCATTAGATCCGACTGTAAATGACATCATTTCTTTCCCTATAATTATTTCATTTGTCCAAATAAAAACTTTAAAAATAAAACATTTACACATGAATATAAAGTAACGTTAAAAGATAATAATTCTATTTTATATTGCCGAATAGTATAAATAACAGTTCACGCTCGACCAGAGTGTTGCAGTATGAGTTTCAACTTTTATATTCCCTTGTCATATTTTTAATAGAAACCCCCTAATTTTTTAATTCTTCTACACAACAGAATTTCGTGTTTTTCTATTGTTAATAACAACTATTATTTTACTGTTCATTCTACAATAATATTTTCGTAAGATGCTATCGCGCTTTGCATATTCAAATTGGTTCTCAGAATTTATTAATATAATATTCTCCACGCACGAAACATTTTGAATACTTAATATTATACACTTCACGTGGCGTAAAATGCATGTTATTAAAATAATTATTGAAGTTGAAAAATGTATTACACGTAGAAATATTGCACTATACAACACGACACATGCACATAACTTGTGTATTTTATTAACTGCTCATGTATGCGCGAGTTAGAATAATTAACAAATTAAGCCTAATGACAATGTAGTCAGAAGATATTTGTCAACAACTAAAATAGTCGAAAGAGTCGAGTACAGCTATTCATGTTATTGAACGAATACATAGTATATACTCGTATAGCTATAAAAAATATTACTCGTATACTTTCTACACATTATAGCACTCTCTGATTGAAAACGAAAAAATATTGTTAAAATATTCCAAAATAGATCTCTAGAGATATCAAATAAAAATATGAATAAACATTATTGTTCACGTTGTTGTAGTTTACTAAACCCGCTCATCGAAAGCAATGTGACGATAAAATATAGAAGAAAAATGATAAAAATGAAATGCATATTTCTTCGACAATCGGTTTTGACTCGTCCAATTTATAGTAGCAGTCATAACGCGCGTTTACGACTGACTGATATTTTTTTACGATTTGCACAACAAAAGTTGTTTTGATACATTTTTCCTATTATAAATATTACATTTATTTCACTTAGTATACATGTATTTTTTATTGGTTACAACGTGGCCAGGCTCGAGTACTGCAACTTTTCTGCCAGTGAGTACTAGAAAATGTGTCAGTAACAAACTTATGAGCGTAAAATACTGTTCAATAATAATATATTACTAATTCATACACTAGTATTATTATACTAGTGCAGAGCAAAAACATATACATATACCAAAAATATTATGCGAATGCACGAGCGCGTATAGGACACATAAACTGATATTGCTCGTGTATATAAATACTATTTTTTATACAGAGCACAAGAGTTTTCAAGAATTTATTGCAAAAGACCGAACGGTTGTAAAGTTCCGCTGGGACACGGCAGGCTGAAGGGAAATAATAATTTCGGAAATTGCTAATGAAAACCGCCGAGCGCCCGCATGGCACTCTGATAAGATATAAAATTTAAAACTTCAAAAATTGTCTTCTTTTAGGTTTTTTATTTTTATTTTTAGTTAGAGCTGAACTCTTAGCGTCGTTATTCGTAGAGTATACTCAACAAACTTTTCATTTTTGCTAGAAAATATCTTAAAAACTTTGATGAGTTTCTCCACTCAAACAGCGATCAATTCTGTTCCGTTTTTATGCGTTTCTCGTGACAAACTTTTTGTTTTATCTCAGGCAATTTGCTTTACTTTAAATAGAAGTGCTTTGGCGATGATAAAACTGCTCGAGAAAAGTTTTGAACTTTAAACAAAATCAATATATGGAAAGGCAATATCATAAAATAATAAATCTTTTTTTATTTATATAATTAATAATTTTGATTACATAAGTATAAATACTGTTATAAAAAACACTATATAGTTACTACAATAAAATTTCGTTACATATTTTAATTTATGAAGATTAATTGTAAGTGAATTTCTTATGTGAAAACCGATTATTAGATATTGTAGCTCATGACCAAGACCGTGAACTTATGAAGAGAGTTTTATGACATTAAGAATTCATTAAATAGGACTTGAAAAATGTGCATAATTTATGTAATAAAATCATTCTTTAATTTAATTTAATTTACGAATATTATTTGATTTTCAACAAATAATAAACCGTAATCAAATATGCTAATAATAAATACTGTTTGGCAGGTGATGTGTTAAATTAATTAAATACCTTTCGTTGTAATGTGACTAGTTTCTTTTAATATAACGATAAATTGTTTTAGATAGGTATAAAAAATATTTTCTATATATTTTTTAGTTAAAACAAATGGTTATAATAACTTACAATCTAGTTTAATTTCCACTAAGTCTTCTTAAATAAAATGATGAAATTTAAAAGATTATTAAATATTTAAAAAAATAATGTTAAAATTGATCTTGCAAATATTATTGAAAATTATATTATTAAAATAATTATTATTTATTAAAATCCTTTTAGTATATGGTAACGTCTATTTATTTCTGAAATTAAAAATTTAATTTATCATTACTTATCATATATATATTACTTATTTATCTACATTTACATCAATTTACTATTATAAATTGGAATACTTACTTTAGATTTACTAA